GTCTTTGAACCTGAGGGACTCATCTTCATCTTCCAGCACTGTATTGGACAATGTTCTATGGTTATCCACAAGGTTTTTATTGGCTAATTTTCCAGCCTTTTTTCCCATCTGTCTTACTCTGGAAGCTCTGCTAAACCTGTCCACCATGGATGAGCCTACTGCTATTCGAAGTACTGGTAGCATAGCTTCCAGCATCATAGTAATATGCAAGCCACCAAACCAACATATAGACAGGTGGTAGAGCAGCTAACAGGCAGTGTAATTTCAAATGGAAATCCAACAAGAAAGAACAATAGTCTTTATTCCATTTCCAACCAAAATCTCATTGCATTTCATTGGCTCTCATCAGGGCATCTGTCACACCAAAACCAATCACGGTGAATGGAATCGTCTAATTAACTAAGATCCATGCCCCACACTTGAATAGAAACACACAGGCTGTAATTCAAGGTGTGGATACTAGGAGATGGGTGAATAAATAATGGTTAGCAAAAACACTGGCAGTCCATTACAATTACAAATTGTGACCCATGGTATGAATGAAAAGTGTAGTGTGCTATGACAGACAGCACATGACAGCGAAAACTGAGATAGTCTGTGGGATCAGGAAAGATTTCTCTAAGCAAAAGAACTAAGTGAAAGAAAAGGGTGAAACATTTTAGGCAAAGGAAACAATATGAGCAATCAGTCTGAAGCAGGAACATGGGACATTTGAAAACTGAAAGAAAAATCAGATTGGCTGGATTGCAGAAAGAGAAATAGAGCGTGGTTCAAGATGAAGCTGGAAAGATAAATACACTAAGACCTTTGGTCTTTAGCCTAAGAACGATGAGAAACAACTAACAGATTACTAGAGTCAGTCTAGCTAGAGCTTTAGGCTGAAAATAAAGCTGGAATAAAGAATAGATTATTAGATTATTCATTGTGAATATACCACTTTGTAACCTTTCAGTTGATTTTCCCCCTTAAAGTGGAGAGACAGGCAAGCTCTAAGCCTGTTCCTTCATGCGTCCTTTCTCCTGATCCTACCACCCTTCAAGAAAAAGAAGAAGAAAAAAAGTCTCCACTATATCATGCTGGTTGCAAGAGACAAGAGAAAGGAACCATGAGGGGGAAAAAATGTTAACACCTTCAATCCTTGCATAAGTTACCGGAAATCCCCAACTTGTAGTTTATCTTTCATTTTGTCCATTAACTCTACTCCAAGTGTTATAAATCTAGGGAATCCAATTTCAAGGAGTCCCTGAAGCAGCAGAAATTGTGCAACATTTTGTGTGTCTGCACAGCATGTGTATTTTGGGAGGGGTAAAGATCCACGGCTTTCATGAAATTATTGAAGGATTCCATGATTCACATATTGGAAATCACATAAATGTAAAGTGTCAAATATCAAGTATTAATTAGTTTATGAAAAAAGAGAGAGAAATGCAGAAAAAATTAAAATTAAGATTAAGAACTTTAGTTTACAGGGATACGGTACAATTCTCTATTCCTTCTTTATGTTGGAGACTGTATAATATGAATTAATAATTGTAATCATGACCTGAAATCGTTGCAAACTTATGAATTCATACTTTATTACCAAATAAAGGTTGTATTACACCAACATAGTTTTAGGGTTAATTTCAATTTCAATTATTAGAAAACAGGTAACTCATGAACTGTTTTATTTTTATGGGATAACGTTCTGTGTTGCCTTTTGCTTAAAGAGAGTATTCTGCCAACTCACAGAGCAGATTTCATATAAGGGGAAAGGACAAAAGTCAGGACTTCGTCTTTGCGCTCTAAGCGTCAATCTTGGGCTCTCCCCATCAGCACACTGTGGTCCTATTTTTACCGGCACCTCCAAGATTCTCAAGGTGTCCCTTTCCCTCTCCCTCTCCTTCCCTCTCCCGCTCTCTGTTCCTTTCCCTCTTTCTTTGTCTCTCTCTCTCTCTCACACACACACACACACACACACACCATAAATGCGTTATGCCTGCATTAATGCGCGACCTACCCCTCTGCGGAACTTGGATCAAACCATCAGACCCTTAAGGTCCCCCCGCACGGGATTGCTGCTCCCCCTACAAAGGGCTAGGAGTGCTGGCCTAAGAGTTCTCGAGTTTCCAGCCAAGGCTGGTCGAGTGCAGAGCGGATTGGCTGCAATCGGAAGAGGAGCAGGGACTTCACCAGTAGCCTAGCGTTTTCATCTTTCTTGTCTTCTCTAGTATCCTGGCAACAGGCCTGCGTGCGTTGTTTTTCTTAGAGGAACCCTGCCCCTGGTTGCTATGGAGAAAGGACGCTACAACTAGCAGGGCAACCTGAGCCCTGAAATCGCTACGGAGGCCTCAGCAAAGCGACTGCCTGTGTTACCTTGTTCCATATCCACCTCCCCCTCATCCAGAGCGTTTCTCTTGACCCCTTCCATGGAAGACTCCACTTCCCAGAAGCAGGAAGAGGAAAACCAAGAAACAGGGGAAACAGGGGGTACATGGTTAGAAATGACAGCAGCTTCCTCCCAAGATCCGGAGCCTAAGTCATCTGAGCAGGTGGAATCGGAACAGGGACCGGAAACAGGACCCCAGACCAGGAGCAGCCTGCCCTGGAGCCCCCAGTCTAGAGCCAGCACGCCTATGGATGACCTCACAGCATCAGGTGCATCACCTGCCCCAGCCCCTCCTCAGGAACTTTGTTCCAGTCCTCCTCCCCTGGATCTGGCCAGACGGGACCTTGCCACACCATGGCCATTAGACAAGACCACTACTGTGATTCTCGAAGCTGGGACACCTCACTCTGATCACTTGGAACAAGCACCTGATAAAGAAGAATCACCTCCTCATCAAACAAGCCAGTTAGAGGGAAAAGGCTTTCAACAGTCTCAGCAACCAAATCCTCACCTACATGGGCCAGGGCACGTGAGCTATAAAAAGTCTAAACAAAAAGAACTGAGATTTGATATTTTCTGGGAGGAAGACTCAAGCAGTAACTATGATCTAGATCAGGCTGAGCCTGAGGTCTCTGACGCAGCTCCCAGCATGCTTGAGATTGCTGTTCAGAATGCTAAGGCTTACCTACTGAAGACCAGTAGCAAGTCAGGCTTAAATCTGTAAGTTTTGGAGAGACAAGTTTGGCAAAGCAAAAAGGGGCGTGAGTATCTCTGTGTGAGGATGTGTTTCTGTGGATGAATGGAAATACATGTTTGCAAAGGTTGTATTAGTAAAAAAGAGTTAGGGACTTAATAACTCTTTGTATCACATGACTCAAAACAGATCACTGATGAGGATTCTTTTGGCTTCTTTAAAGACCCTTGTTGTTTATCTTGTGCCATCGAGTTGATTCTACTCATGGTGTTCCCATGTATTACAGAGTAGAAATGCTCCACAGGGTTTTCTTGGCTGTATTCTTTACAGAAGCAGATCAATTGCCCCACTCAGGGAATTTTTTAGAGACGCTAGTCACCCAGAAATAAAACCTAGGAATTTTAGGGTCTCAGGCTTAGAAAAAACAATAAGGATAGTGAAGTGCAAGCATCTCTTCAAGATGCTTGTAAAAAAATAATTGTCCACCAGTGAAACGGAGCTCATATCTCCAGTCTAAGCATTCTAATTCTTGCATGACTTGGGTTTGCATTCCCACACAGGCCAGTACTGGAGTGACCAGCCATCCCAGTTTTCCCTGGACTATCCTGATGTTAACCCTGTGGGGCACTTCTACTCTGTCCTATAGGGTCGCTATAAATCAGAATCGACTTGATGGCAATGGATTTGGTGGGGTTTTTTTTTTTCCCCCCTAAAATTAACGCTAAACATCCTTCATCCCAGAAAACCTCTCAGTCCTAGGCAAACCAGGAGAATAAGTCACCCTACAGGCCACTCAGAATACACTCTGTTTTATCCAGATGTCTCTTAAAATGTGGTCCAAGCATGTTCTGGCTATCCCATTATTGCTTTAATTTCAGAACTCATGACTGAGTACAGATTCCTAGTCATTCTTCCTTCCAGGGTTGTATAATCATAGATAGGGTCACAGAATTTCAGGGCTAGAAGGGACCCTCTTGGAAGAAAACATCTAATACAACCTACTTGTTTTTAAGACGAGGGGACTGAGTCGTAGAGAAATTCATTAAGTTTTTCAAGGCTGCACTGACTCACAGCACTCACTGGCTCTTACCTCCCCCTCCATCACTATGCTCCAACCACAGGGCCTCTTTAGCTCCTATGCCGCTCCCTCTGCCCAGAAGGCTTCTTCCCCAAGTCTTTGGATAAATCTTCCTAAGTCCTCATTCTTCAGAACCCAGCTTCCACGGAACTCTATTATAACATCCTGTTCTTTTTCTTCATAACATTTAATGCCATTTATAATTTTATATATGTTTATAAACTTATTTTATATCTGACTCCCCCACTATATTGCAAGCCCCAAGAGCTGAGGTATCATGTCAGTTTCATACATCACTATATACTTAGTACTTAGCACAATGCTATCAACGATTTACTGAATAAAAGAAACAAAGAATGAATGAATAAATAAATAAATAAATGGCAGCACAGGGAATACAGTTCAGACCTTCTGAATCTAATTCAGTCCTCATCATATTCTGCTGACATGTCTCCTGAGTAACCAGTACACACTGAGTGCTTACTGAATATACAGCATGTGGTAAATGTTTGAAGCTATTAATAGGCTTTTTAAAAGTATAACTTTAAGGTCTAAAGAATAAAAAACCAATTAATGTGTGAGGTGAGAAATCTTTCATCAAACCGGAGATTGTACAATTTAAAATATTATCTGTAAGTTATTGTTTTAAACTGCAATTTACTTAAGCTGCAAAGATGTGATTTGCTACTCAGTAAATGAAGCCCTGGTGGTGCAGTGGTTAAGGTCTCAGCTGCTAACCAAAACTTTGGCAGTTTGAACCCACCAGCGGCTCCTTGGAAACCCTGTGGGCAATTCTACTCTGTCTCATAGGGTTGCTATGAGTCGAAATCGACTCCTGGGTTTGATTTTTCTTTTCTTTTCTTTTTTTTTTTTAGTGGATTCTACTTGAATTTCGTACTTAAACTACTTGTCATTTAATGCTTGTTAAATAACAAGTTTGAATTTACAAACTTTGTTAAAATTCCAAAGGAACTCATTTAAATACTTGGGAGTTCACTAATAATTTAAAACCTGAATACAAAACATGAAATGGGAGCATTTCCTTTACTGAATTATTTTATGACTGACATTACTTAAATACCTAGATTTAATTTCATTTCCAAATACTAAGTCTCTGAGGTAGTAAATGAGTATCTTCCATAATATTAACTGTCATCCTCTAAACAGAGACTGCAGTTAACAGCTGCTTAGTGAAGGATGGCTTTACTTATATGCAGATTTTATTTAACAACCATAAAAGGTATTTTGTTGCAATTGTAACAATGTTTGACTAAAATGCAGGATCTAGCATTAGTTTTTGCATCAGTGAAAAGTCTTCAGAAAAGAATTGCTTCCATCTTTTCTGTCATTCTGTTAAAACAAAGTATTAATAAATCTAAATTTTTCAAATTATAGTTATGAATTAAAATATAATAAACATGTTTATAAGTTGACACGAAGGCATTTTCAGATGTGGTCTTCTTTACAAAATATATACACAATATCTGGTCTGAAGAACTACAGCTAAAGCGCATGTAGACATTATACTGACACCTGGAAAGTAAAACTAAAATTTGGACACAGAATCCTAATTTGATGTCATACATAGCCTCCATTGGAGCAAATTAAATACTCCACTTACAAAACCAGCTACTGCCTAGTGAGCAACAATAATTTCAGTTGGCAGGATTCTCATGGGTTTCAGTACTGTTCAATTGAGTTCAATACTCAAAACATACCATGTTTTTTAACTGCCGTTTACATTGGTTGCCAACATAATCTACATCTTTGAAGTTCCTCAAGTTCATTAGATAAATGCAGACAATAAAGAAAACACATAAAATAGTAACAAGGGTCAATTAATGGGAAAGTAGGCAATTATTGAGATTCTATTTTGTTTAAAATGAGGGAGGAGATATATGAAGAATAAAATCCTAATCTCTGCCATGGAACAGCCTAATGCAGTTGCTGAAATAGGAAGTATACAATGTACATGATTATATGGCAGAATATCAGTGCTCTCAAAAAGATCCACTCTGAGGAAAATTGGTTCTGGGGAATAACTTCCAGTGGCAAAGCCTTGAGGATTAAGTGGGTTTTAAATTGTTTCTTGAGATAAATGAGGTATATGGGACACAGCAAGGAATACCTGGAGCAAAAACTTCTACGTAGGACTTCACAATTGTATGAAAGTGATTTTCAGTATATTTACCTCACTGTGGCAGAAGTTCTAAATGAACAAATAATTAGAAATGAAGTTGGAGAGATACAATGCATGTCTACCAGTCAGGCAATTTATGCAAGTTTCAGCATTGGACAGAT